GCCATTTACAGCAGAGATTCTTCTGTTTTCTCTTCTTTAGTGGGTGTTCAGATCTTGAGAGCTCTGAATTTCTAACACTCAGAACACTCTGGGCTTCCTCCTATATGTGAAATTCAGTTAAAATCTGAACCAAATACTTCAAAAGGAAGAAGGCATTTTCCTCATTGAAGTCATATGCTTTAAGCTAATCTGGTAATGCCTGGGGGACCTTTGGAATGTTTGTGATTGCCAGGACTTATGTATTGAGTGAGAAACTTGGGTTCACACCTTGTGTTTTGAGAAAGTGGAATGTGTATCACAGGGGCCTGTAATAGATTGGGCCAGTGCTTGGACTCAGTAGTACAGACCATAGGGTCTCCTGACAAGCAAAACTGAAGATCCATGGTGTCAAATTGGAAAGAATTTTGGTGGTAGATAATGAAGATTGTACTGATCCAGGAGTTTGATTTTTGTTTTCTGTGCTAGGTCATGGGAAGGTTGAACAGTTCTGCTCCTCCTAGACAGATGCAGTTTGCTCTGGTTGTTACATTCTTTTCAAGATTGAAATTGGAGTATTTTTGAAAACCACCGGCATTCCTTAAAAATACCTATTTCAAAGGCAACCACCAATATTCCAGTGTAATGTGAAGTGATCCTTAATGGTTTTTACTGGAATTTACTGACTTCTAGAGCAGGACAGTCAACTTTAAATGTAGAGCAATAGTCCACAAATCTGATCAAGGAACTGTATTTCAGGATGAGAATAATATCCATTTCTGTACTTGGAAAACTTCTGCAAGTGTTTTATGATGTGGTTGGAGTTCATAAGTAGAACTGCCAGGACTGATGCATCACTACATTGGAAATGCAAAAGAATTTGCATCTTGAAACTGTGGAAAGCTTTTCCTTCATGTGGCTTGGGAGAGGGCAGGAGACAAGACCCAAAGTCCTGTCTGTGTCGCTTTTTTATCAGTTAGACTCTAATATCTGATTCATCCTTCCCTCAGAAGCCTCTTCACTTGCTTTAAGGAGCCCTTTTTGTTTATCAGATTGGCAGGAGTCCTGTCTGACCTCTCTGATCTGTCAGTCATCTGTTAGGACACTTCTGAAACCTAAAGGTTATCTTTGATGGTTGAGCTCATGATACAGCTTAGAATGACACTAAGAGAAATCATGCAATTGCAAGCTTACATAAAGCTCCTCTAAAAAACTGTTTCTTTCTTATTCATTTTACTAATTTTAGTTTTATTGTGTGTGCCTGGGATAATAGTTTAGTTCATAGCTTTGCCTATATTATTATCTTTATAGTCCCCTCCCATTTGTCACTGGGATATAAAAATTGATTTCTTGAACCCATTGATGTATTCTATTAAGTATTTTTTGATGAGCCACATTGATAAATGCATTTTAAAAACAGTGTGTTTTTTATTATGGGGCTGGGAACCAGACTCGAAATTTAATTATCTCTTAGTCTTACTTTATTGATACATAAGCTTGTGGCACTGAGAAGAGTAAGAGACAGCTAGAAACCATGACACCAGAGAGGCAGGAAAGGGGGGCAGCAGTGTTCACTTTGAAAATTTTCTTTCAACCCAGTATTAGACTGGAAGAAAAAAAGAAAATAATATTTGTGTGAGTATATTGTGATGCTGGAAAGGCCAAAGCTTTCACTCTGCGTCAGGGTGATGAGTTGTAAGGGTTCCTTGCAAGTGCCTATCCGTGAGTAGTTCTTATATTTAATCCTATACTGATGAATTCAGCTCTCTTGGAGAGAGCTGGAGATGGCAGTGACTGCTAGTTTTACAATTTTGGAGTTTCTTTTTCACCTTGAGCAAGTAGTAAGTGGAGTAAGATAAGAAAAAAAGGAAAAAAAGAAAGAATCTTGAATTTGATAAACCTTACAGGAAGTGTATTGTGCGCCTAGGAGTGTGCCTGATGTTTCTCTGTGGGTTTTGATAGAGGTTTTTCTTCCCCCAGACATCTCTTTGGATAAGTATTAAGGATCTTAAAATCAGGTCTGGGGAGGCCAGTGTCATGAGCAGGTTGGCTGGTTGGACTTTGTAAGCTTCACTTCTTCGAGCCCTTCTCTGCAGTTTTAGTGACAAAAAGGACTGAGCTTACCCTGGGATTTTAAGAGCACATATTTCTAATAGAACTTGGCAGTTCAAGGGCTAGAGAAGCATTTTAATCTTTTGTGCCCACCCAGTCTCTATACAAATGTAAATATGTCTGTCTTTAACAATTTGCCAAGAAATGTGGTTTTAATTTGTTAGCAGCAATCCCACTCCCTGCAGCTCTTTCAGAGTCGAGTTGCAAGTCTGGCGGTGCTTTGACGTTTTTCTCTGTCATGGTGTCATTGTTTATATGATGTCTGCTTCTGCTGTCCTCCCTTTTATGCCTGGAATATTTTTCTTTAATTATTTCACTGCCTAAAAGGAATCTGGGATTACTAGACAGGATGAGAGCAGATTAGCTTTTTTTCTTTCTTTAACAAGTCCTGAAGTTCCCATAGGAAATTAAATAGTATTCCCAAAACAGACAGTGTGTTTTATTTTTTTTTTAATTAACTAAAATTATTAAGTCTAATAAAGAAAATAAAGGAAGTATCACCAATAATGGCTGTGTGTCTTAGTAGTATATGGAGTGCCCACTGTTGTTATTTATGACTCTCTCTGCCTTCTATTGTGGACTTATTCCAGCCTTAGGGAGTTTACATCACTACTAATAGCAAAAGGCTCTCTGGTTCCCACAGAGTCTTTCAAAGCCTGACTCATATGCCTTATGTTAATTGTTCAGCTCTCAAAATACAGCACTTACAGGGTGTGGTTCCGAGGGGAAAATCTACTGTACTTAGAGGGCATGTTCAGAAGTGTTTCACATATAAATCATTTCGATTTTTACTTTTTTTGATGCCTTAACCCTTTCTGTCACTGCTTTGTGCGATAAGCTATTTGAAAGCTAAACAAAAGGTTGATGACAATGCAGTGAGGGAATTTGTTAGTCCTGCAACTTGGGGCCATTAGCTCCAGCCTGACTGAACTCACAAGTGCCATGACTTCATCATCTTTGTGTCTCTGCAGGGTCTGCTCCTCACAGCCTGGTGGGACCATCCCAGTCCTGCAGAGTCTGGAGTTAAATGCAAGTTAGAACTGGGTTTATTCCCTACCTACAATGGAGTGTACATGGGGACAGGACCTATCCCCAGTCCTCCCTGCAGTTTGTACCAAGGGCTCCTTTCCATGCATTGCTTACCACGGTGACAAGAGTTGCCTTAGTGGGCTGCTGCTCCTGGCCTGGTCAGCACGTTGGAGATTTAACAGATTTAACCTTACCCGTTTCCACCCATCAGGAACTCAGATGGGCTCAGCCCTCTGGCCAAGTATGAGTGCTCTACAGCTGCTTTGATGCAGGGTGATTGTGCAAGACCCTTCAGCCTCCAAGTTGTGACTGTTACTGGAAATCAAAATAGTTTCTACAGACTTTGCAGTCTCTGCCTTCTCTTAAAATTAGCAGAATGCTCGAGTGTCTTAATAGTATTTCTGTCTTTAATAGCTTGCAAAGTATGAAAATATATTTAGTCAAATTAGGGGAATCTACCTCCAACAAGAATAGAAGCAGCAATTAATCCCTCAGATTAAACTAGTTAAGCTTGATTTCTGAGGTTGGGATCACATTGCCTGTATGCTCCATGTGCTTTCTGCCTGCTGTAAGCACACTCATTGCACCATGAGTGGACAGAACTTCATGCATCACTCAATGCACACATTTGTGTAATTTGTGTTTCTGAAAGGAAGACTCAGAACAGCTGTAGTTTTTTTAAGTGCCAAAATGGCTTTACTTCTTTGCCTGACTATGCTCCTTCTGCTTGCAAAATAGGAAGCTGTTTTCACTGGCTATTTCTTCTGGGAAGAGCATGGAGGTCCCCTCACCTTCTCCTTTAAAACAGAAATAAAAATGGGCAGGGCTTACTCTCCCTGAAGTGACAGGTTTCCGAGGGGTGTTCCAGGCAGGGGTCATGTGCAGGTTTTGGCCTTGTGCCTCTGCTGGCTTTCTCTGTGTCCCTTAGTGCTTCCACACCACCTGGTTCCAGTGCCCTCATTCACCAAGGACTGGGCTAAAGCAGCACTCCCTGTGTTTGGGGAGCCCCCGTCAAAGGCTGCAGCACGGAGGCTGAGGGAGAAAAGTGCTCTCAAAGACAAGGAGTATGCACAAAGCCTCTTCTTTTCTTGCCTTCACCACTTCTTTTTCCTCTCCTCTGTAGCCTTGGAGATAATACTTTCTTGGAGTATGCAGTAGTTAATGGTGAAATCAGCAAAAGGCCCTTCTCTGATTGAGATTGTTTCATTGGGAAAGGAAGTTCTCACAGCTTGAAGAAAAAGAGCATTTTCCTTCCCTCACACTCGCCTCAACCTCATATTATATAAAAGGATGGTGCTGCTGTTAGCTGAGACCAGAAAGAATTCCCCTGTTGTCCTGTAGTAGCCAACTTCTACAAGCTAGGAGTGTTTAAATGTTAGAATTAAAAGTTTTAACCCTTGCCTTGTTCAATGAGCAAATAGCACTGTGTATGTTTTTTTTTGTAAGTGTGGAAAATCATGGGAATTCCTCTGAGAGTAAGTGTATAGACCACTGCGCCAGTCAGTCTCTTCAGAAAAAAAACTGACAAGCATGCTCCTGTCTACAAGAGAGATTCCTGGCATTTGTCACAGTTTGAGCCACAAAGATGTCAAATATTTGCCAACAGTTTCCTCAGAATGGTTTGGAAAGCTACATCCTTTACATTGCAGTCTTGTTTGTTTGCGGTGTATTTTAGCATACGAAATATGTTCCTCGGGAGTCAAGGGGAGGGAACTGACTAGACTCCCAAATATTAAAAGATTTAAAATAATTGTTTCTCTTAGACTGCTCAGATCAAAATAATAAAGAACAGCTGTAAATCTTAGTATTAGAAATGGAGCTTTCTGTTGAATAATCATAACTTGATGTGTCATGTTTTAAACCTGTATTTTCTTTTGGAGCAGAAAGAAGAACTTTCCAATGGGACGTCTGAATATTTTACTGAATCTGCTGAGAACAAGAAGCCTAAAATTAGTCTGAGTGAACAAATAAAGCGAGACATCTTGAGGAAAATGTATGCCACTATTCTTTCTAAGCTTTTGAATTTATAATTGGTAAAATTTGTTTTGGTAGAATCTAGCTTATGTAATAAAATTTTAAATAGTATAGACTACTTTAAAAAGGATTGCTTTAAATTACTGAAAGATTACTACTGTAGTGTGGATAAGCACATAAAATGATGTTGTTTTTTACAGCATGGAGAAAGCTATTACAACCCACATAGATATCACACATAGCACTAGGCAGAGTCAAAACAGGCTGTTTTTCCTTGAATGAAGCTCTGAGCCAAAATAAATATATGATGCTTGAATCGGGTGAGAAACACTTCACAAATATATTTTTTTTTGTTCCTTTTGAGACTCTGGATCAATAGTCACAATTAGAGAGTATCCCTAGTGGAGTGGATGGGGAGGGTGAGCTGATCAGCTGAACTTGTCACTGCTCCATGTGGTACCAGGACTCCATCCCAACTCGTGCTAGCTGCCAGCAGCCCCAAATCACCTGTGAAATCAGGGATTTGCTGTGAACCCTGGCAACTTTTCTTTTTCTTTTCACTGTTGTCCCATCTGTGTTGTCTTTAGAAATGAGATTAGCTCTGGAGCCATGCCAGTTCTACCTGTTTTGGATGAGCCTTCCTTGAGAAGAGTTAGATGTGCTGTCCTGGGAACTGCTCAGCAAAAAGTGGTCTCAGCTTGGAGCCATCTCTAGTAGCGTGTTTAGACTCAAAATGCAGCTTCAGAACTTGGGCATAAAGTTCATGTTATGGGCTGTGTGAAATCCAGATCCATAGGTAACACACTGCTGAGGAGTGTTTATGTACTGACACTCCATCAGGTCCCTTGTGATCCCATTTTCCTGTGTAATTCCTTTTAGAATATCATCTACTTGCATTACCTAAGTCCTTGCCAGATGAATGGGCTTGATACTAGATGAGTAGTGGTTAACTTTAAAGCAATGCTTTGAAATGTCCTGGGAAAAATTCCAGAGGAACATTCTAAAATAGAGATTAGGAGCTCTCACACAGAGACACACTCACTGCCTCTCCCTGCCTGCCCCCTCTGTCCTGTAGATATGCATTATGCATGTGGATGTATGGGAATGGTTTGCAATCGTTTAGGCACTTAGGAAATGCTATTTTATCTAGCCAGTTCAGAAAGGAATTCAATATACTTCTGCTCTGTTGACCTTTAACATCTGTAATGAATCCAGTTCTGCCTCTTGGAAAAGAGTGTGAACTCACTCCTTCATGGCTTAGTCATTAATAAATTGGGTTCTTCCTTAGTGCAGTGGAAAATCAGATGGATAACGCTTGATATTATCCACACTAGACAAACATTGCTTCTTGTCAAGATGAAATACAGGGATTTTTTCCATGTTCAGAAAGAGGGTGGCCCAAGTGGCGTTTCAGAGTTGGAAAAACAGTAAATGGAGTCAGTAAAGGTTCTTTTTTTAAATTTAAAAAACAAAATTCCTTTTTATTGCAGTGTAAAGAGGACAAAACCAAGGAGAAGTAGTGCAAGCAAACCTCAAATCAGCAAGGACTCCACGAAAGTGTCTCTTGGCTCAGCACACTCACAGACAGAGAACAGAAAGAACGACTGTCAGACCTCTCTCAGTGCTCGGCCTGATGTGAAACGGAGGAGTCCAGGCCTGCTGAAGGACTGCACAAACACAGCTGAGAGCAGCTTGGAGCTTCCTGTATCAGAGCAGAGAAAGCCAGATGATGTTCACAGCCAGCAAAAACCTCACTCTCTGCAGTGGTTGGAGGCAAGTGTTGGAAGTGAGAACCCTCCTTGCAGCTCTGAGTCAGCACTGCCGGCTCCAAAACAAAGTCAGAGAGTGACCAAAACACAGGCTCAGCTAAAGACCTGTGCTTCAGAGGAAAAGCTGAAGCATTTCACAAAAGTGTCCTCTGAAGGGACTCCTTTAACTTCTATCAATACAGAAATGAGCAAGTGTGATGATAATTGTTTGGAGGAGAAGACACCCGTGAATTCTAGACTGTTTGCAAAGCAAGACATGATAAAGACTGTGGTTGACAAGAAATCATTGACTTTGAGAAAAAAACCCTCCTGGTCTCTTTCTGTGAGCAACAGTGCAGTGCAGACAAGCCAAAATGAGCCAAGCACAGCCACAGAAGAACTGCCTGCAGTGCTAACATCATGTCTAGAACTGCACCCCATACCTTCAGAGAAGGGGTCCCAAAAAAGAAAAAAAGAAGTGGAAAATGGTCTTGGGAAGTTAAAACTGCGAAGGCTTAAGAAGTCAAAATCTGAAATACTGCCTTGACATCCTGGGTGGCCAGCCAGAGTTGTGCATAAGCAAAGAGTAGGAAGCAATTCAAAATGATGGAAAATAATAAAAATACAAAATCAAAATTGGAGAACACATTTTAAGAAAATTTAGTTAACGAAGGATCTTAGTCATTTGGGACTGTAATAAAGGTAATCCTTTTAAGTCTTTAGGAATTAGTCATTATTATTGCACAAGTCAGCATCATATTTATGGAAATAAAAATCTCATATAAAATGATATCTACTAAGCAATATTTTAGATTTATACATATTCAGTGCTATTAAAAAAGTCGTATCAGCTGATGACAGCAAAAATTAAAACCCCTCGTGTGATCTGTTAGCAGCTGCAGTTATTTGGTATCTTGCTTGTTTCTGAGCATGTAGTTAATTTCAGTAAAATTTGACCCTTTCTCTATATCAGAAAATTCATGGTTTACTCACATGATCTGTACAACAATAAAGCAAATTAAGTTTATTTCAGATAAATCTTTAACCAGGATTAATAGCTGATGATTTGAGGCCCACTTTTTCAGAGAAGTTTCAAATTAACTATAGTTTGTGCTTGTGTAGTTTTGATATGAATATGTAATTCTAGCCCATATTGTGGATACAAGTTATCATGCATTCAGTCTTGGGGACAAATGAAGGTTGTTTTTATATATTTAGATTTATATATTAACACCTGGATGTGCAAACATCTTTCTTGGGTGAAGTTCATATATAAACATGTATGCATATTTTCATTGATATGTGTTTCAAAATCAGGCCTTGCTTGTGTGCAAGTGCAACACACTGTTTTTCACGTGGTACTGATACCAGAGTTGAATCTTATTTTAAGATAAATTTTAATTTCACAGTGCTTGTTCATACGGCTTCTTAAATTTAAATGCTAATGGGCTAAGGAAATGTACCTCTTTTATTTCATGCTTATCTTTTTTAAATGTGTAAAATAAATTTATAAGCTGTTTTCTTTCATCTTTCTTAAGATCAGTGAGACCACAGACACTGAGCAGTGCCCTGACAGCCAGGAGGGCCAGCTGGGCAAGGAGGGGATTTTCCTGCTCTGACCTGGGCCAGCCTCTTCTCAAGGGCTGGGGACAGTTTTGGGCACTAGAATTAAAAACAGATGTAAAGGTATTAGAGAACATCCAGAGGAGTGCATGAGGATGGTGAAGGGCCTGGAAGGGAAGCTGTGTGAGGAGTGGCTGAGGTCACTTGGTCTGTTCAGCCTGGAGGAGACTGAGGGGAGACCTCACTGCAGCTACACCTTGCTCGTGAGTAGAACAGGAGGGGCAGACACTGATCTCTTCTCCCTGGGAGCCAGTGATGGGATCTGAGGGTCAGGGCAGGGTGAGGTTGGATATCAGGAAGAGGTTTTTTCACCCAGAACATGGCTGGGCACTGAACAGGCTCCCTGGGTAAATGATCACTGCACCAAGCCTGGCAGAAGCATTTGAAAAAGAATGCATTTGAACATCCAATGCATCAAGAAGCATTTGAACAACACTCCCACACACTGAGGGAGATGGTTGGGGTGTCCTGTGCAGGGCCAGCAGCTGGACTTTGATGATCCTTGTGAGTCCCTTCCAGCTCAGCATATTCTGTGCTCTATGATTTTATATGAAGTAATTTAGAAAAATCTCAGTGACATTTACTTACGACTCTTACTTAGATCTCCTCATTGAGGTTAAGGAGATGATTCACATCTAGGAGCATTAGAGTTGGTGGTGTAACCCAGGTCCTGATGAGAGCTAGCAGCTCTGCAGCTGGCAAGACACTGCTGATTGTACAGCTTCCTGCTGGAAATGATTTCTGCTCTTGCTGCAAATGAAGAGAGTCTGCATGTGTCTGGAGGACATGTTCTCTTTTTTCTTTCAGCTGTTTGGGTGATGTTTCTCAGTGCTTTGCAGTCAGGTTGCAAATCCTCACCCAGCTCCAGGTTCTGCTAAAAGGTCTTTCCCAGTACCAGCAAAACCAAGGCTGCAAAGAACCTGGTTTGGAGGAAGAAGAGCCTGAGGTATGTTCACTGTTGTCTTTTTTTGTGCACTGGAGATACTGGGCCAGGAAGGGAGTAAAAAGCACCTTTTTGATGGTATATTTAATTAAGCATTTATCAGAAGAATTTGATAGTTTATATTAAAGTCTTAGCATACATATATCAAATATCAGAAACCAGAGGTCAACCACATACAGTTTTTTATCATCTCATACTGTTATTATGTGTGTATATATATCTATAAGCCTTATATTTACAATTTAGTTTTAATCTTAACTGAATAGCACACCTGCCTGCACCCTCTCAAATGAAGGCCATATATTTAGAGGGGGCTTAGGTAGATTAAACCTGTTGTCTGCTTAGCTAAGAACACTTGATTTTTCCTTAGGATATTTTGTTACATTACTTAAAATGGTGTTTTCATCTCTTCCCTGATGCCCGGGAACATCTCTCTTTCAAAGCAGTGGTCGTGTAACAGTGAGAGATGTAAGGTGATTGAGGGTGTTAGAGGCTGGAGAGTCACAACAAAGGCAGGTAGGCTTTCTCACAAGTCCACAGTGGCATCATTTCTTTTGTCCTTACTGTCTTGAAAAGTTCTAGGCTCTTTGGAGCTGTGTATTTTTGAGCTTCGTTACTATCAAAAGTGGTGTCTCGGATCCTCTCAGAAATGCAGCTATTTAGGGAAAAGGCTTTGAATTCACAGTGATTTCTGGATTTTAAATGGTGTTGCTGCTCATGTGCTTTCTTTTGTCTGTGCAGCAGGACTTTTATACCAGCTTCTCTTCTGCAAACCTGGTGATGCTTTGGGGGTCCTGGGACACAGAGGCTGTGTCCTTGTCTCTCTCCTTTCTCTACTTCAAGCCCAGGGTCATCTTCACAGACTTTGCTTTTTTCTTTATCACCCATCCACCTGCACCCAGAGGACTGGCAGAAGTGTGGTCTGACATGCTCTTGAACCACAAACCTGATTTCCTAAATCAGGTTTAGGGGAAAAAAAGGGAACTGAAAACTGAGCTGGACCAAAATTAGCAGTTTGCAAGTCTTGGCTATTACCAGTTTGCTTCTGAGCAGCATTAGAATAACTCTCTGTTAGAGTAATGAATATCTAAGGCTCTGTTCTCTTCTGAAACTGCCATTGAAGCACAGAAACAATATCTTTGGTTCATTTTTTATCCTAAACCAGCCAGCTTTGGTGGGTTATTGTTTTGAATGAATCATCTGGTTCATTTGGTCTGTGCTATTTGCTGATAATGAAACAGTTGTTTCCTAGTGAAACACTTTCTAATGTGTGCAGATGATAGTTTCCATTATTCTTTACATCAAAGCAGTTAAAAATATTTGTTTAGTGCACTTTTATGGTTAAACACATATCAAAAGCTAGACCAGCCTTTTACATAATCATTTATAAAGAGGAAGCAGCTCATGTGAAATCTCCCTTGCCCAGTGTTGGTTGGTAGGAAGGTTTTAAATATCCCAAGATCTTGTGGGTACTAAGCTTTGTGCTGGATCTGATGCTACCTGCCAGGTGAGCACCTATACCTCTCTTCCCACAGAAGGTTTTGACCAAGTGAGGTGTTATGTAGCTTCTGAAGGCATTTCTTTGGTCAGTGTGAACTTCCTCCCCTCTCACTGCTCAGCATGTGGATTGCATTGGATGAGTTTTAACTGGCATTTTAGATCATCTCATTGGCTTTTGACTGGAAAATGGCTCCTTCCTAAAGAAAAAAAAATGGAAGAAATGCTTTTCTGTTTGCAATTGGAATAGGAAAGATATGAAATACAGACTCTCCCAGATTGCATAGTTATCTCCTTGGTTTTATCAGTACCCAGGGAAAGGTTCTGTATTCAAACAGGCTGCAGCAAACAGAGGCAATAACACTGAGCCTTTTTGCCAGCAGTGGGAAATGTGGGTTGGCCTCAGAAATTAGCTTTAATAAAAGGCACTCCTCACTTCTTTACTTTGTGCTTTTTTCTCCTTTAATAAACATTAACTCGCTTCCAGTAACCCGGGTGAAGATGTGGGCTGAGGGAACCGCTGTGCACGGAGCCTTTCATCACAGGGATATCAAAGCACTCGGCAGCTGAACCTGGAGGGAGCTGGAAGTGCTTATTCTGACAGCTGGGGCAGCACTGAGGGAAGCACTGCTTCCAAGGTAAAGCAAACTGGTTAAGGAGCAGCAAATTCTTTCATCAACTCACACAAGTCCTTTTGTCCACCTGTTCCCTCAGATAATTAAAATCGAGCTTGGTAGTGCATGACCTTGTCCTTTCCATGGTGGCAATAAGGTGACATTTTTTAGGTAGGGACTTCTTGTTTGTTTGGTGTTGCCTTATGCTGAGAAATCCTAAAAGTTGTGGAAGTAATGGAGTGTCACAAGGCATTTCAGCTGTAACCTGGAATGTGTTCAGGAAATTAGCCACAACTGTCCTACCTTCTTTACTATCCACTTCAATTATTCCAGAGCTGGGAATCTGTTGCTGTGAGAGCTGACTGTGCACCTTTTGTAAAGGAGAATTTTAGTGATTTGCTCTCATTCTGTTCAAGCTAAATCTTTTAGTACAGCAGTAGGAATTGGTACTCTAGCTCCATAACTGCCTTACTTGCTGGCACAATAATTATCTTTTTTAGTTATGCATCAGATCTTTAAAGAAAAGTATCTTGAGCTCTAATTCTAGAGCTGGGCATGCCCCTTTTTAATATTAATATGATCTCATAGTTCTAGAATGAAACGAATAGAGATTTATTTCTCCACCCTGTAGGGAAACTGGTTGAAACAATTTGCACATCACAGAAGGCGCTCGCTGGCAGATCTGGGCTGGGACTCCAGTCTGACGCCGTCTGATCCCGCATGGCTCTGCTGCTGCTGCCCCAGTGCCAGGGAAGAGCTTGCACCCCACTCTTCCTCCTCAGTCCCAGCAACTGGAGTTAATCCTTGCACAGCTTTTTTACTGGGGTTTCCCTCTACTGGGAGAAATCATTGACCTTTGCAAGCAAACTCAGTGTACACTGGCAAACAGTAACCATGATGGCCATTGCTGTCAATGCTGAAAAAAAGAGGAAGCAAAAAGATTCTTAAATATAGTCAAATATTCTTGCTTCCCTTAGAAGAGGAGGGGGAGGTTATGCAATCACTTCCATCTTATAGGGAGGAAAAGGCTGAATTTGGTACTTCCCTTGTCAGAACTTCTCATCTTTGCAGGCACTCCTAAAAACCATGAAGGATCTGCCTTGTGACTCCACAGATGGCAGAGCAGCACCCTGGACGTGGGATAGCTGGGAGGCAGGGCTGGATTCAGCCCGAGGGCTGGCAGATAAGGAGCAGAAGCAGGCAGTCTTCAAGGAGCAGCAGGGAGCATAACCTTGTACATTTTAGCTTGGCAGGGAGCTGATTCATAACATTAACTCTTACTGTGCAGGTGTCAGCTGCTGTGAGAACTGGAGGTGTGTCTGTGCAAGGGAAAATGGTTTCACCAGGACATGGCTGGAGATGCAGTCACACGTTTGGACCCCAAC